AGAGTGGAAAAAAGTGAGCCAGAAACATGAGAATACGTCCACAAAAAACCACATCATTTGCCTTGATATCAAAGAATAGATGGATAAGTCAAAAATTAAAACAACCCTAATATAGAATAATGTCTTAAGAACATTATTTTCACTTAATTGAAATTAAAAAAATATTCTAAAAATTTTACTAAACAATGAGAAAGTGCCTATTGCTTGCTGACCAAACTACACTTCCGATTAATCAAGAACCATAATCTTTTAGCATACTTGACCATTTCTTTTTCGTACATATATTGACAAGCTTTGCCTACAGGGAAGAAGTGGTCGAGGATTCTTTAACTATTGGCAATGTCCAAATTTTCGACCTTCACAAACTAATAAGCTAACGAATGTCGAAAAGGCATGACCGCTAGCTTTCACCCCATACAGTTTATACATGAAAAAATCTTCCCCTTTCTAAGAAGTAAGTTAACCATTTCACCACAGATCAAGGTAGCATCATGGATCTGCCTCCTCAAAAATGGTAAAATAAAATAAATCCAGACATGCAAAATTGTCATTCCCTCTCCCAGTATGAGGCAGAACCTTTGATACTAGAGACTATGTAGAGGACAGATAGAGTGAATCATGATACCTTTGATAGTCGACGAAGAAGTTGATTACATGTTCTCAACATGACGAGTTTTCCACGAGCAAACAGCTCTTGCTGGGTCATATTGAAATGATTGATCGTTAAAGACGCAGAAAAGGTCAGAAGGTAATCCAAAGGTTAATTCAAGTAAAAGAAAACTAACCTTCCCTAATATATCCTGTTTACTCTCAATAAAACCAAAGATATCTTTGCAGTTCCTCATTGTGGACATTTCCGTCAAGTCTTCTAGCAGTTGAAATATCATACCACCCTCAATATGCTCTTTCTCACAAAGATACAGCACAATGTCTGGAAAACACCAGAAAGACAGAGAGTCAAGAAAAGAACAAGCAAGAATGTGTCTCCAGTTCTGGTTGCATGGATGCACACCCATACCAAGCAAGAAAATTGTGAAACCAGAGCATTCTAAGAAAGACCAAGCTGTGGTTGTCCTGCTTAAAGGCTAGCAAGATTGAAATTGCCATGATCTAAACAACAAAAACAGAACAGATTCTTCCCAAGCAATTCAAACAAAAGTATCAAGCATATAATATTGGAAAGAGAACCTAAATCACAAAACAGCGGACCAACAACATATCTGGTAGAACATCATTTTCATCATCCTCATGGCTCCAACTGATCTTCCAACAACAATATTTGCAAAGCAAACTCAAACCCAATAGAAATATCCATCACAAGTGATGTAGGGAAAATTTCCAACTTCTGGAAGAGCATGCTTGCTTTTAAAATTTCCAAATGAATACCAGAAGATAATAAGAATTCCATTTCATTTAAACAGTTAAAGTCACCAAATAGCTTTTAAAGCTTGTAAGATATTCAACTACAACCCAACCAAGAAGGTACCACTGAAGATTCAATACAACAGGTTAAGGTTTGACCTTAGACTTCTTCACTATTCAACTGGAACTTTACTTGAGCTTGCATCATATTAACCCCTCAGGCCTTGGTTTACTCAGCTATTCTTTTTTACACTTTCCTTTACTACAAGCCACTCAATTCACCTGATATTCTCACTTGACCATATTCGCTGCATTACAGAATTCATGAAATCTCCAGTAAAACAGATACTAATCAATAACCCTACGAAGATGACTGACCACCAGATTACAATATGCAAATGGAACTATGAAACCTAACTTAACAAGCCTCAAAATTTAGACAAAATTTTAGAACGAATTATCTTCTAAGTACCAAGAAGTCGGGGAATATGTCCTTGAGCAACTTCGCTGTCATCAACTGATTGCCCATGCTGCATCATTGGCTCTCCCGATTCGACTGCAGCTGCCTGTCAATTCCACCAGAATAGATGTTCCGTCATTCAGGAGTAAGTGGCTTTGAAGAGCAAAAACTGGTAAACTATCTTAACTACTTAGATAGCATGTAACGACTTTAAAATTCCTTCCAAAACCTCTAGATACAAGCTATATATGATAGCATGTGTTGCAAAAGAAACCAACAAACAAGCAGCAGAAGTTCAACCATACCACCAGTTCCTGAAGTAATGCCCGAAGAATATTTTCGAGCATCTGATTCTCATCTTGTGCCAATTTTGTTTGTCTCTGTCCACAAAATACTCAGGCTCAGGAACTGAGGGAAAAACAGATACTTGATAGATAAACACGGGTGTAAAGTAAAATCAGAAAAAGGAATTCTACACTCAATCAATTTAAATTCAAAGACATTAATCACATGCTAAAGTATCACTGGGCAGCAGGCACGTCCGAGATATCAATAACAGCACAAGTTTTCATTCACTTGTGCTCAAAATACACAACCACAGAACTTGTAAAGACGCTCGAACGAAGTGTAATAAACAGTGAGGAAGCAACAGACACCATGCCTGGGGGCATGTATGCTGGTAAGATCATTCGGGTACGGATCACGAAGAACGAGAATCCAGTTCTAGATAAGTGAAGTACCTGAGGTTTTATAACTTCTTGAACCGTCGAGAGCGCAAAATTCTCAGGCGGTCCAGGCTCAAGAATGGCCCTCCTAAACACTTCCTGGAAAATCAAGACAAACCCAGTTCAAGATAAGCAAAATTAACCAGCAAAAACTCTTTGAGTCACCGCTCGACACGCCAGAGCTTTACACATTCTCAAGAAATTGCATCTAGCTGGCAAAAAAAAGATTAAAATAAACAAAAAACATTGATAGATGTCATCTCTCCAGCCATCATCCCATTCGAAATGCAAAGCTTCTGTCAAGCGCTGACGCCGCATTCGAATCGCGACTTTCAGAATTCAAACCACTCAATACAGCATCAGCTGCTGATTGATCTCAGTTTCGCGGTACGAAAACGAAGCAACAAATCAAAATCCATTCATCCGATCGTAGAGATATGAAGTATCAACCATTTCAGCCAATGTCACCGCCGTCGCTGCTGAAGCTCCACCGGCGACCGGCGTCCGGCGGAGGAAGAGACCGAGCTTCTCCGATGAGCGAGGAAGTAGACGAAGAAGAAGAAGAAGAAGAAGAGAGACTTGTTCAGGTTCGCCTTCTGCCCTAACACTGAACCGGAAGAGAGGGAGGTAACGTTCTTGAGACACCCCCCGCTGGAACTGGAAGCAAGGGGAGGAAACGAAAGGGGAAATTGCAAAATCAGTCCCCGTATTACCACCCAATTCGGTTTTTGGTCCCTGTACTATTCTCCGGTGACGAATTTAGGACCAAATTCGTTTTCTCCGGCCAGAAAAGCCACCGGAAAAACGTGACTTGGACGGCGGTGATGTTGAGTCAGCAACGAGATTTGAACACGTACCAAAAGTCCGGGAACTGTGTTAAACGAATTAAAAGTTCGGGAACAACATTGCACAACATCGAACTAAAGTTCAGGGACCACATTGAACAAATTTAAAGTTTAGAAACCACATTGCATATTTGGCCAAAGTTTAATGATCGTTTATGTCAAACTAATTTTTTTGTCGCAAAAAATTCCGAACCGGTATGCCCATGACAAATCTACCAATCTTAATTCATTTTCTTCGGATTTGGCTTTTTTAGAACAATGTCGTACAGGAGACCCATTTTTGTTGAACTTTCACATTGAATCCTTGTCACGCGTCAATTGGTCGAGTTGTTTGCCACGTGTGTTTTCACGCCAACAATTTAACAAAGATATTGGGACTAAAGAAGCTAATGGACATATGATTTTGTCACCGATGAACCGGTTTGAGATTCTTTATGACATGAAAATTGATAGAATTATTGACGGTACAAGTAAAAAGATATACGAACCGTAAAGCATCTCTATAATTAGGTTAATTAACTCTCATAACCTTTTTTCATACAATCTCAATTTCTTAATATCATCCCATCCTACATTTTATTTTTATTTATAGTCGTCTTTTGCCAATTAACTCCATGTACAAATAGTTTGCAACACCCAAAAAAGCGAAAATGTACTATATATCTAACATTTAAAATTAAAAATACAATTTCTTTTGACCGAATAAATACACTCGAAACACGTAAAAGCAACGACGCGTGCACGGGGCTAGCCTGACGGGAGAAAAGCTATAAAATTATCAGAAATATTTTTAACAAAATCAAATGGGTGGGTCGGGTTGGGTTTGGCGGGTCATAAATGGTCCGATCCAAATTGACCCATTAACCCGTTTATGATTTATTTATCGCAATGTAATTTTTTGACCCATACCCGACCCGACCCATATCCAACCCATACCCGATCGACCCATATTGCTAAAACACTTCCATATTTAATTAAATATAGGAAAATTCATACCCAAACCGAAATGAGAGTGCGGAGTGAGTGAGGAAATGAGTGAGGCGAGAGATCGTTGAGTTTAAATCGCTTGTAAACTCATTTATAACCAATTTACGACCCATTTAACACCAATATAAAACTTCTACCCATTTATGACCCATTTACTAAATATAACTAACTCATTTATGACCCATTTACTAATATATAGGTTACGAAATGGGTTTATGATCCATTTTGATAGGTCTAAAAATTATCAGAAATATTTTTAACAAAATCAAACAGGTTAAAATTTATTTTATTTTTAATGGATATTTATGTATGAACTTACCTTTTTTTTTTTCTAAAATGAGGAAGTTACCAAAAACGGTAAGAAGATGGCTAATGTAATCACTCGGATATGCAACGACGATTTGAAAAAGGCGTCAACAAATCGCGTCCTCGTTCAACGATTTGAAATCCGCCACCCTTATCGACGGCCACGATCTCCCGAGCACGCGAAGTCGAGATAGTCAACATTCTCTACGGCCATGATTCGTTCCGCGGCACGCGCGTATCTAGGGGCGCGCTGCAGCGGATCCTCCTCCTCCTCGCTTGAAGGAAGAGGAAGATAGAGAGAGAGAGAGAGAGGGAGAGAGAAAGGAGACGCCCCAGAAACAGACGGAATCCGTTCGTTCGTTCGTTCGTTCGTTCGCACGGCGAGAAGAGAGCGAGCCGCCGCCCCCCCTCACGCCCGCCGCGCCGGAATCCTCACCGGAGCCTCCCCGATCCGGCCGCCGCCGAGCCGAACCCGATCCGCCGCCCGTCCATGGAGGGAGTCGGGGCGCGACTCGGCCGGTCCTCCACCCGGTACGGCCCCGCCACGGTGTTCACCGGCCCGGTGAGGAGGTGGAAGAAGAAGTGGGTCCACGTCCCCCCGTCCAGCAGCGCCGCCGTCTCGAACGGCGTCGGTGGCGGCCTGAACGGCTCGGCCGCGGCGGCGGCGGCGAACGGCGGCAACGCGTCGCATCTGGTTCTGTACAAGTGGACTCCGATTACGCAGAGCGGCAATACCAACGGCGGCGGCGGCGGCGGTGGCGGCGGCAACGGTAACACTGGTAGCAACGGTGTTGATAAGAGCTCCGTGAACAGCGACGCTGCCGCGGAGGAGCCGCCGCGGCGTAAATTCAAGTACATTCCGGTATGGATGCGGCAGATCGCTGCATAAGTGTAGTTTTGTTGTTCGGTGCTTTTGTGTGTTTGATTTTTCTGTGAAAAGTTACGAATTGATGGGAGACAGAAAATTTCGCATGCCTTCATGTAGCTGCATTCTTATTGTAAATGAGTTTCACGTCAAAATCTCAAATGGAAATCGCCTGATATCTTCTGTCAAAATTAGCTGAAAAGTAAGAAATTTCGTGTTTATGCTGATAGACAAGGAGGACATGTATGTTTTTGTTGGGTAATTTGAAACTTTACCTCTTTCTTTTAGGATTTATGTCGGTGTTAGTTGATCAGTATTCCTGTGAGATTGTCCGAAAATGTTGATGGACTAGTTGCAACCATACATTTTATTCTCTTGGTTTTGATTGTTGGAGTGGTTGGTTGACAGTAGTTGTAGTTTAAATTTTACAATGAGGTTGGATCATCATACTGGACACATAGGTGTAGACTAGTGATGGGTTAACAATGGGAGAAAGTGCAAATACATATTGACTTGATGTGTACGAATTGGTTGGTTAAGGTTTGGATTTAGAAGACTGACAAAGAAAGGTGACTTGAGTCTGTGTTCTTATTGTTTTTCTGGGGACCAAGGAAAAATGTCGTTATATAAGCTAGATGAGGAAAGACCGAGACGTCAATGGAGCACATGTAACAAATTAGGCATCCAAAGCGTTAACCATCAGTGTTCTAAAGAAACGGTTGTACTAGTGACGTCAAAGCTTGATTTAAGGTATAGGCGATGTCAAAGAAAGTAGAGAAAATTCCCCCTTTTTTGTGGAGAAAGCAAGACGCTTGAGTTATACTGGAATATACTAGTCTTACTATAATGACAATGATTTTACGATCATGAGCACATTGGTTCTCATTTTTCTGCGTCCGTGTTTAATCTCTTGGCATGTTGAGGACAAATTACTTCGATGTCTGATTATGCTCTATTTTCTCTATTTTTACTGGTAACATGATACTTCTGATTTTACTTGATCTATAAAAGTTTTTTACCTATTTCGTGCTTATGTGTGTGTGAAATTAGGTGCTGTCGGATGAATGTTATGCAATTATTGTAATCTTCCAAGGAACTCTATGTCTGGTAGTGAGTACATGGAAACGGGATTCTTTGCTGACAGTTATGGAATGGAAACACCATGATTACAGAGAGTGGTCCCTTTGGGGCTTTGCATTATCGCAAAAGGAAATACCTGTGGCTTTCCAGTTTATTTTGGGCAACTCACAGCCAGTGAAAGCATATAGTGTTTGGACCAAAAATAAAAGTATACAAAATAGACACTCCTCATCAGAAGTCAAAACTTTGGTAGATAGGGATCTCAGCATGCACTATAGACGCTCCTCACCAGAAATAAAAATTTCGGTAGATAGGGATCTCATAAAGCTTCGTTCCTCACTGGTTTCTTAATGGAGTCATAGGTACTAGATCTTGTTGGAGATAATGCTTCAAATCCTCAGATCTCTTTGAAGGATCTCAAGTTTTATGACAAGGCATTCTAAAGGGGAGGTATGTGCGTTACTGGTTGCTTCAGAATGACTGTAATGATCATATTGGACAAAATTATTTGAGCAGTTACATCTAGGAAGAAGTATGAGTTATTCTTGAAGGATCATATGAGTCTCTTCTAACGTTCCTTTTGTGGGAAGCATCATCTACATGGATAGCTGATACCATTGAGGAAGTTGATAAGCCATAGTTATGCCTAGAAGTTGTGCGAAATTGGCGATAAATCAGTTAAACTCCACAATTACACCAGTTATGGGTGAAGCAGCCTGAGACTTTAATTATTCAACCATTGTTACTTTACCAGATTGTCGGTTGAGTAGATAAGATTTCATGATTATACTTGATTTCATGTACACCATTTTCTTTTCCCTAGACAATGAAAATGAACTGGATAGTAGATCACCAGGGAAGTGAACAATGACTCACCATTTTGTTGACAGAATATTCGGCAGATAAATTAGTTGGCCAAACTTATTGTGACTGTGTTGGGTGACTGCCAATCTCCTGCTAGTCAACCACATAGCCTCTGCTCCATTTCAACTGAAAGTGTCTCCAATAATAATCGAATTCTCTCAACCAACACCACTAAAACCCCATCCTACTTCTTGTCAGTTAAAATTTAAAACGCATTTGCAGGAATATCGAACCTAATTTACCAAGTGAATGTTTTTTAAATATGAAGAGTTTGTTGACAAAGAAAAGTAAAGTAAGAGGTGAAAGGGGTAGAGCCATATTGTTGCAATGAGTGGCAGTGTCTTTGGGCTTTTTCCTTATAAGTTGGGGCTATTATTAGGAGTCAGTATTTTCAATTGGAATGATAGAACCCAAGTTTTGATCATTGTCTCTTGTTTTGACTGTTGTTTCCTGCGCTCAATCATCCTTAATATGCTACTGGCCCAACCGAAGTTCCTCTTTTGATGAAATATAACTTTTGGCATTTAAATTTAGATAGAATGAAATTTGTTGTTGTTATTGCAGTTATCATTTTTTGAGCAGGAAACGATTGATGAGTGTAACAAAGCATGAGATTTAATAAGAAACTAGTGAGACCACTGACTTGCTAGGCACATATTTACCATTTGAGTGATTTTAATACATTACAAGAGACACTGATTTTGAACATCCAATTTTCCATTTCAAAGCTGAGCATTTTCCAGGGCAATGAAGATGTTCTTTAATTTTTCCTGGTAAAGAATAGGGAGACGTCTTAGCAAAATTCATGCTGCAAATACCATGCAGAAGCTGGTTTTAATCATTGTAAAGGAGGGCTTTGTGAAGACCAATTTTCTGCAAATTATTTTATTGTGCTTGTGTTGTGGGATTGCGTGTGGATGATTTTAGCTTTCTTTGTCAAGTCAGATTGCTTTACTGGAAGAAGAGAAAGATGAGGATGTAGAAATTAATGCTGCAGAAGATGTTGATGATGAAGGAAAGCCAAGTGAAAACGATCTTAGTTCAGTTGAACCAAACAACAAGAGTGGTGGTTCTGATGAAAAACCAGACATCAATAATATACCAATGGAAGTGAGTGAGGTAACATGTTATGACCATCTTGTCCTTGTTTCTTTTTTCTATCTTCTTGGTTTATCCTTTAAAGGACTAATTTCAGGAAGGATAGACTTCACCTGGACGTTTCATGTCAGTTTGTAACATGTATTTTTTCTGCTTGATCAAGCAAGGTTATTTGTTTCACCCATTTCTTTGTAATCCTTCTAGGACTGAGTTCGTCAATTTGTGCCAAGAGAAAAAGAAAGAGTTGCATCAGTCAGTTTAGGCTTCCTTATCAGGTTCTCGGATACTATGCAGTGACTCATAAACTTGTAAAAATAGGTGTGGTCAGTTTTCCCTTCCTGTTGATGCAACAGCCATCTCTGCGGATTAATACCGTGTTTCTTGTCTTCTCTAGTAGACTCAAAATTTGTGTACATATTTTGTACAATATAAACATGTTTGTTTTCTTTTTTGCTTTGTATGTACCTCTCAGGATGATAACAAAGGGGTACGGCAAGATCTCAATGAGAGCACTCTAGATTTGAGTTTGAGCTTCAAGGCAGGTGAAGGGAACCATGATGTGGATTGAAAGTAAGACCAAACAGTGGATTGGCAGTTCAGGAAGATGTGATGCAACATATCATCTGCAGTTTTCATCGACGCAAAGAGAGAAAGCAGAGGTTTCTTTCCTTTGCGGACCCAAGCACGAGTCTACAGGACTTCCATTTTTACATGAGCTGTCAGTCTTCAACTCTGGCCTTTAACCCAACTTATCCTGAGTTCTTGATCATTCTGATCAGTCCGGGCGGACGCTGTGTTTAATTTAGTTGCTAAACATTGATTTGCATCTATTCTTTGAGTCTGGAACTTGCTGGAGATGCTAACTTAAATATTAGTGGAACGAGATGCATAGTGAAACTCTTAACACAGTGATACCTTTGCACCGTGTTTCTTTTCAAAAGAAATTCAAGGATTTCATCTCAAATGTGCAAAGCGAGTTGTGTTTTTTCTCTGATTATAGGGCAATGCCGACTTGCCATCACAAAAGTTGGGAATGATTCGATTTTGCCTTGATCTTAGTTTTTCGGAACCTTTGAAACTTGTGCTAGCTTTCCTTTTCCCCTTTTCCTTTTCCTTTTGGTAGTCTTGGGCTCTGCTTCCTTCTTCAGACGCCTATACTGTCTATACAACAGTCGCAGAAACTTGTGAGCAAAGCTTTGATGTTGCGTCTTTTCTGTTGTCATCCATGGAATGATGAAGTTATTGTCAAAATCCGTACTTGGTGTTGATGAACTGGACCCTTTTAGTTTCCTTCCGGTGAAAGGATCCAATTCAATTGAGTTGGGGTTAATTGGAGATTGACCCTTTTTTCTGGTAAAGGGGCCCATTGCTGATTGTCTCCATCCTTCAGAGCTTCCCAGCTGGATTCCAAGCATTTTCTTTTCTCTGTCTCTCTCTTCCATGTAGCAAGAGAGTAGATCTTGCCATTCCAAACGAATTGTTGATCTTACGACGTTGCGATCATCGCCCTAATTGCATGCATTATGAAACACAATCTACAATGTAAATTGTAGTAAGACTGATATACAAAACTAAGTTACTCGGTGATTTAAACATACTCTTGTCAGATACTGAATAAGACCAACTTGCTTACATGTTCACTGTAATTAGGCCACAAAAGTTGGTTTTGTAAACCAACCACTAAGCACCTAGCGTTACTCAAGCTAATAGTATAACTACCAAAACTGCATAATTTAAATCGTCTACGGTGTACGGATCTATCTGGTGGTCGAGGGATGGGTTGATTCTTTGCTGAACCCACCTAGTTGTTGCCGAACAATGACATTAACTTTCCTCGTGATTGGAAACTCACACTAATTTCACCATGCGTGGTCACCACGATCAATTGGGCTGCCATTCATAAAATCTCATTCATGTAATAACAGGAAATTCATTCGTAAAGAGACAGAGCATACATAACCATAGCGTAAGGTTGAAGTTCGAGAACCAAGATTCTACCGATCAATAATTCAAGATTGATCCAATTTACATCCGTGATATCGAGACATGTTGCCTTTCGGGTTAAGCTACATCCCATGAATCGTAAAACATAATCTTGGAAGTCAAAACAGAGATGGCAACACACAAAAGAATCTCAAGTTCTCAACCCTAGGCCAAAGGAAGAGCTCTTCCAAGATGGCCCAGGAAAGGTAGCAGGTCCCAGAGCGGAAGGGGAAATAGTCTAAAACCAGCTAAACAACAAGCTAAACCAGAGAGCCATCCCAGGGGAATCTATGCCCTTTTAGAAAATGCCGTCCTCTGATCTGACCAGCCTCCTCATCACCGTCAATTCAGCAGAAAGAGAGGACACAGACATTGGTGCAGATAGGGACTGATCACTGTGCTGTTTGGTCCCACTCCGTCTCTGCACCTATTCCCCCTTAACCACACCTCTCTTCTTTACTCAAAAACACACGCAGAGACACCACTGGTTTTTCCTCGACTCACCTCCATCTCCCGCCATCCAAGGCCTGAGTCCCATGTTTGAGATTTGTGTCCTGAACTGTTTCTGAGGATTGGGGGAGGGATGTGATCTTTGTGTCCCTTTCCTAAGTTGCAACTAGGGGTGATCGGTTCCAGAGTGGGTTGGGTCCAGACCTGGAACCTGAAACCAACCCTGTTATAACCAGTTCCCAATTTTTGGAACCTGAAACCATGTTTTCCCTGGACCCTGTTTTGGAGCCGACCCTGTTTTTCCGATCCGATTTCAGGGTTTACCCAAGGACCTGTTTTTTCTTTTTGTTCCTTTTTCCAGTTTCATTTTTTTCCAGCAAAATAATATAGGTATCAATGAAACGATTTAAAGTAAAAGATGAATAACAAAAATTACTATCCGCCAAAAGTAACAATCCCCAAAATGAGCAAGTGAAATTACAATACATTAAAATCAACAATCCAAAAGCACTATGTGGTAAGACATAGTCTAATCGCATAAATATTTAAGAGTCACATTTCCAGGGAATTGTTCAACATGTTTAGCTCTTTATTTTGTGCCATGATGGGAGAACTCCTCACTTCTATTTCCGAATGAAATATCCTGAAAGAAAAATCAAGAGACTTACCAGTAAAGCATCTGCTCTCACTAGAGAAATGTCTATATATCTCATGTGAATCACACAATATTTAAAAGACTTTAAGGGCCGTGCTGTTTCGCTCGTAGTTGTGAAACAGATCCCAATATTAAATCAGAAACCGGTTCTAAAACCAGTGAAGTAGGGTAACGTGATCTAGGGTTTTTACTTTTTTTTTACATTATCTCAAAACCGGTTCGTGTTGGTTTTTACTTGGAACCGGAAACAGGACCGATTCTAATCGGTTCCCAAAAAATGGAACCGGTACCTGGACCGGTTCTTGTTAGAACCGGTTCCCGAACCTGTTTTTCGGGTGGGTCGGTCCGGTTTCCGGGTAAACCCGGTCCGGTTGCACACCCCTAGTTGCAACTCATTAGATTTTAGGGATAACAACACAAACGGTAAGTGAATCTTGACTCATGTGTAACGTCATTTATAAACTTTTAATTTGGGTAACGTGGTACATGAACTTTGGTCCGATGTACAATACTGTCACTAGATTTTTGATTTGTTTAATGTGATCTATGAACTATTGTAAATATTCAATATAGTCCTTATGCTGTATGAAAATGTTTAAAAATTCAGAGACCATATTAAATATTGAACCGGGACTACATTGCATATATTAAAAATTGAGGGACGGCATTGCACATTGGATAAAAGTTTATAGACCACATTAAACAAATTAAAAGTTCAGAGTTGACATTGTACACCGAATCAAAATTCATGAACCGTTTATGCCATTTTCCCTACATTTTTACATGTTAAATACTCTAAACCATTATTTGCAAAGATCTGGCGATGACTGAGGCCAAGATGGAATAACTCGTGCTCGCTCGAGATGTGCAATCGAATTATTCCACCATTTTGCATTTACTAAGGTGTCGGATGTCCGACACGACAATACTAACAAGAATAAATTACGGAAGTAGCATGTTTCTCGCGTGGATAAAGAAGGAAAATAAAAAAACATTTAAAACGTTTTTTTGCCTATGGAATCCTATCTTATACGATATTAGAAAAACATGTCTTTTAACCTTTCCATTTGGAATTTCTTAGCTTTGCGGCTGATTAATATTCGCATAAATTAAGTTTGACATTGCTATTATTCCGGCCTTAAAATAATATTTGTAAGGGTAACATAAAATAATGAATATATGTTGTCACGATATATATTCCGTTTAGTGAGTTTGGACACTTTTTACCTCAACTTTCCATTTAACAAGAAGGCGATATTTGTTATTGAAAAACACAGTCTATGAAAAGACTTAAAAAGTTTCAATTTGCGATGGAGTTCGAAACATATTTATTTTTTGCATTTAGTCAAAACTATGCGTTGCATCCATAACTGAAAAGTACACTTATGTTCCGTTTATTTGGTGAAAAATGAATTATTTGGAAAACATTTTTGAATGAATGAAAAAAAAATTCGTTGTACATGCAAATATTTAGATATAAATTAATTATTGATTATGAAAATATTTTTTTATTGACTAATTATTTCAAGTGACACAAACGATTATTTTTAGAAAAATATTTTTTTAAATCATTATTTTTCGTCAAATAAATGGATTTATTAGCAACTTATATATATATTGCAATAAAGAGGGGGGAGGACGGGTTTGGTGACTTGTCACCATAGAGGGCACCTTCAAAGTTCGAAATATTTAATGGTGCAAGGTGGCATTTGAAGACCAAAGTTGACTTGGGAAAGGACTTTAATGTAGTAATAGCACACCAATTGAGAGAGATGAGAGTGTGTGTGTGCGTGTGTGATTTGCATGGACAAGTTGGCATTCGACGACCAAAGTCGACTTGGGAAAGGACTTTAATGTAGCAGAAGGGGATGAATTGAGAGATGAGGAGAGAGTATGTGTGTTCACATATCTAACGTCCAAGAATGTACCATATGAGCATCTCGTGACATCGATTGACGAGATGAGTAATTAAGCACTTCTATAATCTCTCGAGAGGTCAATCCCGATCGTTATCGTCTATCTAAATGTCCATTAATCAAAAACTTTTGAAGTATTCGTGAGATAGTACACCATATTTAGACATTATGATTAGACGAATTTGGATATGACTCGTTATAAAGGGAATCGCCTCCCGTAAGGATTGTGTTCTCTTTCAACAAATGATTAGTGGAAACTTTGCTCTTGGTCAACATATGTGATTTGCAAATTTCTTAAAAAAGATTTCGAACTAAAATGACCATTAACCTCACAAATTAAAAACAAAAACCGACTAATCTCTCTCTTGCGCCAGTTTATAGTGATGGCAACGATGTAATCAATATACGGGATCTCGGGTTACATTTTCTCCCATCCCTCTGGTTATGCTTTTAGGCTAATTTGGTAATCTGTATTTCTAGCCATCTTAAAATTGGATAAAATAGAATATGAAATTCAAGGTTTTTGCTATATCCTTTCCATTATTTGATGAATCGCAGCAATAAAGTAAGATGTTTTCATATATTAACTGCATATCAGTTTAAATGAATTCAAAAATGCACAAATAATGATAGTAAGAATCTCTTGCGATTTACTACAAAAGACAATCACAAAAGCACGAATGGAGACAATCTCCGGCAATCAATATGTGATTATTATAGGATATAAATCTTAACCAGCAAATGAGCTTGTTGTGGTATTCCAAAACTACAGGTTCGACCACAACAAGAAATGTAAACGGGCTACAATGACATTGACGAGATGGAATAGCCAGCGAAGTCAAATTTAGTAAGAGAGAGCAAGCATGACCATTTACCTTTGCAATTCCGAAAAACATAGAGTTTCGACTTTATCGCTGCTTTCGCGAAGCTTCAACATGAACTAGAAAGCTGCGGAGGAGAAGAAGGTTTGACCGTCTCAACATTTTCGTGAAGCTTCGGCATAAACTAAAGAGTTATGTAGGAGCTGTGAAGTTCAACGGGAACAAGAGTTATAGGGGTAAAAGGGTAGGGTTTTCTTAAAAATCCCGTTGTCTCTCATTTTTCGAGAACTAGAAAGATCATTTCAAGTTTGAATTTTTTTCATTTAAAATTTGGGTTCTTCTACTTCATTTTTATTTACTTATTTTTTAAATATTTTCCCTCCTTTTTAAAATTTTCCTTCCATCATTCCTTAATTAAAAAATTGTTAGATAATAAACTACACCTTTATACCTAAAATACTAATAGACCTAAAACATGCAACAATTATAAGTATATATATATATGTGTGTGTATATATATACATTTATTATTGATTATAGACTAGAAAGAAATTCAATTATATAAAGAAAAATAAAAATAAATAAAAAATGAATTTTTTTTGCTATTTTTATTTGTTTTTAGAATTTAAATACAATTTATATCGTTATTATTTTTAAATAAATTTTTTATTCGAGAAAAATAACTTTTGTAGCATGGACATAAGAAATCTCATCTATCTTATCCCTCACCTGTGATACATTTATCCAAGTTATTTCCCTTTTATATCTGGCACTATCTTGTCTTGGACAAGAACCAAACACAAGATAAAATAAATCTCATCTATCTTGTGTTCACCATGACTATCGAACATAACCTCAATTAATAGGTGACAAAATATGATTATTCCTCACGTGCAAATTAATATATATCTAAATATTCGTGATATTTATATGTTTATAACCTACCAATCGAAAGAGCAGATAGAAAAAATGTCATTTTATCAAGGATAAAGGAAATACGACTCTATATGTAATCCATGTTAAAATTTTCATGTGGATCACATTAACCACGCAATTCATCAATCGCAAATTAGTGGGGAGAGTTCCTTTCAAGTTTCAAGTATGATAGGAGAAAAGCATATGATACAAAACAACGAGAACAAATTAAAGAACACAAAGCCAACATTACCATAGTCCAAGATGTAACCTTTGGAAACCCTAATCCAAAGTATAGTTTATTTCATCAGTATCTAGAAAATATACCTATGTACATAATATAAAATGTAAAGAATCTAACCCCAAATTAATGAGAAAAAGAGGAAGAAAGTTCTTGACTCTCTCTCTCTCTCTCTCTCTCTTCTGGGTGTAAATTTGGAGATAATAAAAGCAAGAAAGCCTCGTTCATCAACCCTTCAAAGTCCAAGAAGATCAAGAAAGCATCATCATCCTCCCTCTTGAACAGCAGATAAGACTTTCCACCCTCCTCTCCTTCCTCCATCACTCCCCATCGGCCAGAATCCATCCCCCACCATGAGGAAGCTCTACCGCAGATCGGTCACCGTCCACCCCTCCCCGCCGCCGCCCATCTCCGACCACAACCACCTCCTCTCCCTCCTCCCCGCCGCCATCCTCGCCCTCACCGCCGCCCTCTCCCCTCAGGACAGGGAGGTCCTGGCCTACCTCATCTCCGGCAACAACAGCTACTTCAGCAACAGCCGCGGCAAGAGCAAGGGCAGCAACTGCGACCACCCGGCTTGCTTCACCTGCGACTGCTTCCGGTGCTACATGAGCTACTGGGTCAGGTGGGACTCGTCCCCGAACCGCCAGCTCATACACGAGATCATCGATGCCTTCGAGGACGGGCTGGTGCTCAAGAACAAGAACAACCACAGGAGCGTGAAGGGCAAGAACGGCAGGGACAGGAGGAGGAGATCAGGGCTCGGTGCCGAGCCCGCCGAGTCGAAGCGGCCCGAGTCGAGCCCGGCCAAGAACGAGCCGGGCGATAAGATGGAAGAGGCGAACCCCAGCAGCGGCGGCGGCGGCGGCGGCGAGGTTGGTGGCGGTGGAGAGGAAGAGCTGGAGAAAGGGTCGGTGAGGAGGCTGGTGAGCTTCATCGGAGAGAGGATATGGGGTGTCTGGAATTGATCTTCGGAGGAAAAACGAAGTGGAAATTAACAATCTTGCTCAAGGTTTTTTGCCTTTCCTCTATCACTCACTCACTACGAGCCCAAGGTAGCGAGTGTTCTACCGTTTCCTCCTCCTTTTTTTCCTTTTTGGTTTCAAATTCTGTATATATCATCCTTTGCTCTTTGCAATGTAAGAAAAGAATGGAAAGCTGTTAATCAACTAATCTCCCCTCTCTCGGTTGTCTCTGCTAATCTCACGCCAACTTTGCTGAAGATGAAGCTGAAGCTGATTGCTTTTCTTGGCCTTTTGGGTCATTTTCTCTTCTCAGAAATGAAGTTGCAGAATCTGTAGTGGAGGTTGTTCTTTTTTTTTATTTTTTCCTTTTATAGCTTAAGATAAGATCTCGGGTCGTCCTTTCTTAGGCCGGTCGCGGCGGATGAGTCGCCTCGCTAGGTGGCGGGTCGCCCCCCTCCCCCCGCACTCGAGTGAGATCGGGAGGCGTTGCCACCGAGGAGATTCGAACTCAGCACCAGCTGCGCGGTCGAAAAGCGGGATCCGACCACCGAGGCAACACACCCGGATAGGATTTTTCCTGTTACAGGTGGTTCTCTTTTTGTTCTGTTGAAGTGTTGCAGTTTCAAAGATGGGGGGGTCAGCTTACCATGTTTCCTTCCCTTAACTTTCAATCTTGGCAACAGGTTGAGTTTAGTTGCAAGATTGAAGTGATAATCTAACTCAGATGGAGACATTAGCAAAGTTAATTAAACAGACAGATTACCTAAGCAGGCGATTTCTCATTAGTGGGGTTCAGTCAAAGCAATCAAATTTAATTCAAATGAAATCTTAGATTTCTGAAGACAGATTTAATTTTGTGCCTGTGCACATCTTTTTTGACGCATGTGGGGAGACCAAGAACAACAGTTTTATTATCGTTTAGACCATTGAAGTTCTTCTCAGGCGGGTCTTTATAGCTGCTGCTGCTGCTGCCGCTAATATAATTTAGTGGCCTTTAAACGGTGCCGTTTCAAGGGGTGGGTCTCCGAATCTCGAGGCTCCTGTCTGGGAAGACGGGTGGGCCCCCCCCCCGGGCGCTCTGGTTTTTGTCGTCACGTGGAAGGGGGGAGGGGGTTGTGTGCGCAAAACGCCGTGCCGTTGTGTGTCTGCGAAGGAGAGACCGTTTCTGGGCGCACTTGAAGTTTGGGAAATTAATTTCGGTATATTAATGCGCTGGCCCCCAGAAAAATAAATAATAATAATAATGAGTTTGAAATGTTAATAAAATATATTTGCTAAAGTATGCTTAGCATAGTAATTGCTTGTTTTTGTTAAATGTTAATTATGCATTTAAAAAAAATGTTAATTATGCATTTTTTTAACGAAAAATGTTAGTTTTTTTAAATGTTAATTAATTGCATTTTTTTGACCCAAAAAAAGTGTTAATTATGCATTGAGGGGTCTTTGTGGTAAGACCACTTTGTCTAATTAAAAGGGTTCTTGTGTGTTTCTTTTTAATTTAATTTAATTTTTTTTTGGCTTCGATTAAAGCAAAGTATGTTTTTATAAAAGGAGGGGGCGTGGGGTGGTCCAATCCAAACTCCAAGGCCACACTCTTAACTCCTTTCCGTTGTTTTCCAAGAGCATCTTATTCTATGCTTTTCCCCGGCGTGTAATTATTATCACCGGCGCATCTATTAAAGCATCTCACGTCACTTGCTTATAGGATTTCAATGCGTTTCTTGCCTCATCGGTCTTTCGAGTTCGTTTTTCTCGATATGATATCGGAGTCGGATTCCACCCCAGATTTATTTCTTGTGCGAGGCTCTCCTTTCGCTAATTTCACGGATCATTAATTATTGGTTTCTCCAATTTTGCAGAATGGAATGATTTATTAAGTAAATTACCTGGATAATAATTTTTGCGGAATTGAAGTGACAAGCGCACTCAAAAAAAAGAAGAAAGAACTATGAATGACATGGATTTTCGTTTTAAAATAGACAAAAAAAGAAATTCAAGTCGTCGGAATTCTAAAATTAAGGAAACTTTAAAAAAACAAGATTCATTCTTTTTAGATAAACCAATCTCAACATAAGATAATAATTTGTCCCCATACAAATTTTTTTCAATAATATTGAAAAGATCATTGACCAAAAAAATTATGAAAAGATTAATTAATTAATCGCCCTTTTTAGGAAATTTCACACTCTTGTCTTATTACCTTTTTTCTCTTCTCCTCCTCCTCTTCATCACTCCCCATAAAAAAGGTGCAAGTGTCTAATCGGAAAAAAGATCACGAGCATCTTGGAATTGCGCAATTAAGGTTTTACTTTCTGTTGGGGGCAATCGAGTTCATTGAATGTCCTAATCAATAATTGCGTGTACGAGTTTTGCGGGGACAATTGGCGGAAGTCTCGGAGACCAATTGAGGAAGAAATTACTATACTTTTGATTAATTTCATGGATTAAATATCATAGGCAAGTACTATGCGTGATGTATGTATTGAAGCTTCTCGTTCTTGTACTTCTTTATTCGATATAATTTGATGGGGTTAGTATAAGTCTAGATGATAGTTTTGGACATGGAATTCCCGTTAGACTTTTAATTGTCGAGTCGACGCTTTCGGTAGTCCCTTGATATGTGAAATGAGTGTGTTGGTTTTGACATCGGTGATCGGATTGGAATTCCAAAGTGGTATAAGGCCAAATTGGGAAAATTTGCCAAAACCGATAGAAATAGAAAAAAAAATAGTACAAAAGATTGAACATGACAATTCGGTTTGATTTTCAAAATGCCGATGGAATAATAATACTTTACACTGATCGATCCATATTGGAAATAGCTTTCTAGGATTGTGGTTTTCGATTATCTAACACCAGATTGAATTCACATTCACGAGCTAGTTAAAAATAAGCCATCCGTGTTCCAAACAAGGAATGCAAATTTACTTGCTTGTGACCAGATCTAAAAAATTGCGTTGCGTGGTGTAGGCAGCGAGCAGACCCGCTGATTTTGACAGTATAAAGTCTCAATTATCTTACCACTTAACCGAATTGAGAGAATTATTACAAAAAAAACATAAAGCTATTGTAGGGAAATCAATTCAGTCATTAACCTTTCAATTTGGCCAGTTTAGTTAAGCTTTTGGACGATTTCCTAATGTAATCGTTTTGGCTAATTTTGGCTAGAAATCACTAACGCGAACGCCGATCGACCATTCTACACGGTATGGCCGGCACTGATGTGTTTAATTTTTGTAATTTTTCTAAATTTGTTCTTTTTCTTTCCTTTTTCCCTTCACCGATTCGTGGCCTTAATGGTGGCCGGCGGAAGTAGTCAGCCATAGGCGAGGGTGTTGCGACCCTCGCCGGATCTAGGAAAGGGGCCATGAGCCCTCACTGTGATGGGCTTCGAGCTTTGGGCCGCAATGCCCTAACTTATTGTCGGCAAGGGTTGCCGACCTACAGTCGAAAATAAAAGAAAAGAAAAAATGAAAAAAAAAATTAGAATTTTTTAAAAAATTACAAAAATTGTCCACACCGATTGTCCGGTGTTCATGCTAGTGGTTTCTAGGATAATTGACCAGAAGCATTATATTAAAATATTTATGATTAAATTAGCAAATCAAATAGGAAAGGTTCACTACACACTTTGGACTTTGGAGTGTGCAAACTTTTGGATCGTCCCTTCTCGAGGAACTCATTGATGTCCTAACATGGTGTGCAACAAACACAAAGGTCAGTGCTTCATCATTGTCATTATTACTGCATTTGAGGTTGAATCATGAGGGCATTAAAGGAATCAATTCACCTTTTAATGAGTTAGATTACATTGATTGATGCCCTCCCATTAGGTCAATGGCATCATCATCGTTTTTCTCCATCTAATTAAGATTCAAAACGTGGAAAAAAAAAAAAAGAAATTTAGAGAATCATCATGCATTGTACATTTGAATCCTGGTGAATTATGTTAGACAATTTTCCATAAACTAAAGAAAAAAAATGTTAAATAGGAATATATATAACGCTTCCATTTTTTTTTTGGAATTACTTCTTAATTCCATAACATTTTCCTTTTAATGCATTTTCCTTTTAATGGGATGCTTTTATTATTTCTGCAAGAAAGAAAAAAAAAATGCTTGCTTGCTAAGCAAACTCTAATTTCCAACTAATTAAACTCTTCAAAACATTAAACGATTTGTACAGTTCTTGAATTGAACGCTTCAAAGATTAGTACATTGAACAACATAAATACAGTTATCAATCTCATGAAGCTTTTGTGGCGATCAAATATATAGTGCGACGATAATAACTAGAGTTAATCGAAATTATTTGCATAATCACGTTCCGACGTCGCGTTGGAGAGACCCCAATTCGGAAGTCTAGACTCAACCGTTTTTCACATGCAAAAGAATATACGTCCTATCGGTGTCTCGGTAAGTCATCTAAGTAACGCAATTGGCGTTCTCTTTTGAACATTCTGAAGTAGAAAAGGATCGGCAGACTTCTTTCATTCCCGGATTAGCTTGCGACAAGTCCTAGCATTACTAAACGGCGATACGTCTCGACGACGATATCCTCGATAAGTACCCGCATATTATAACTACGGTTTCGTAAGTAAAAATATACCTAAACCATGGAGTTATCGATTTGGAACTTCCTTTCTTTTCGTTGCCGAAGTTGGAATTGACTTTGTCACGAGCTGAGATCACGACGATTCCTTTGAACTGCGAACCAAGTCAAAAGTCAACAAGCAAAAAGAAAATACATGGAAATGAGGCTGAGAACGTCGTACTTCGTAGCTTCATCTGCTTGTTTCGTTCTGGTTAATGTCACGATCTGCGAAAGGGACTACGATCTTTCTCGGGCACCAAAACGAGGTTGTCTTGACCAAGTCCTTGAGCACCTAGGAAACTCACCATGCAATTTTCTAAGATTATGACGTATTACCCGCATTGATCCATCACCTTGAAAGCAACATTTCAATTGGAGTTGCCGGGTCAATGCGATTCTTAGAGGTCGATCACACACATATAGACCTGAGAATCACCATAATATATTGGTATATGAATTCTCCCGACGAGCTAGTCGGGTCTACTAGACGAAAACGTCACCGACGGGGACATCGTGAATTGGTCCGAGCGCATTTGAACGAGTCCTTTGTGGTACCAAAGACGTTTGCGTCGAGTTTTACTGAATTCGAATGACCATCGCGATCATCGATTGTGT